CGGGGAGGAATCGTAGCTCTAAAGCCGTTTTCCCCACATCCCATGAAACAATGCTAATCCCGAAATAATCTTGTGTGTATCTTCTGGTCAGCGGCACATGGTTTAAAATAAACGAAACCTTTCCGCCATCTTTGCCTAAAAATGCAAGACCAGAATTCGTTGCGGGACGCCCCCTTGGTTTTAAATCTGTTATCTTAAAAATTCCAAGAAAAATGAAATCGTATTTTTTTAATTTTAAAAACTATAGTGAAATAAAATTTGAAAGCCTTGATCATGCCTAGTATTTTTGATAGAAAAATTAGGAATTTTGAAACATTTGCCAACTTTCGAATTCTTCAAATTTCAAAAAATTATTTAAAAAAATGCTTTGAATATAAACTTTAAAATTAAGAGCAAAAATATTTTTTACCTTTTGACATGTGGGTCGTGGCTAACGTCACCATAGTAACCACCATGAATATTCTTGTGTATTGACCAATCATGGTTATGGATGTATTTRAATTATATCTAAAGGTATGAACCAATCATAAAACACCACGTCAGTTGGCAATGGCACCAATCAGCATATACAATTTTCTAAATATATAGCTCGCGCGCTTTACAGCTATGAAGATATTCTGGGCTCGGYTGTATACGACGGGTGGATAGCACTATCCGACGGATAAATCCTATCCAGTGTGGTATTATCCCGTGAATAAGATTTATCCGTTGGATAGCGCTATACAGGCTTCGTACAATCGGGCCCWGTTCAATAACTGTCATTAGTAAAAGTTGAAGTTTCCTCATTTCATTAATAAAGTTGAAATTATTCCTTCTGAGCAATGCTGTATAAATCCTGTTTACCGTAGAGATTTTTGTCTTTACCGTGTGTTGTATGATAATTTTWATTTTTTTATTTTTTATTTTTGCCTCTTCTKGTTCCTTTTTGCATACTACATCTTCATTTATAACTAGCTTTCTTTGCTCTTCTTCAGTTGTAACGGTCACTGGTCGATACTGATCTTTTTCAGTTTGGCTGATCGACTTCTTACCGGTTTAATCATGCACCTTGTAAAAGTCCAAATTAAAATATAATCGAACCGAGTTCAGTGAATTTGTTTTTTGCCCGTTAGAGTGCATACCATATATCCGTGAAAAAGTTGACTAAAAAAATTGTACAAATTAGTGCAAAGTCTACTGAACTTACTAATTTTTGCAAATCTGTGCAATTTGTTACAAAGTTTTTTACAGATATATGGATGCACTCTACCGAACACGAACAAAGTTACGAAAGATACTCAGTGCTATATAACCTGTATATGTCTCCACTATGCATATTTATATATTTTTGCGTTTAAAGAATTATTCTTGAATATAATGTTTAATAACGAATCGATAATCATGTATTATCGCGACGATAACTTGTTTAAACATTTAACACCAGACTGCCATAAATAAACATCAAAAGAGGTCACCTACCTTTTATGTAGCTTCTAAAAACCTTGGATCTTCCCCGGTGTCGTAAATCTTCGGTATCCAGCCTGTTTCTACATCTGTAGCTATCTGTGTTGGTGACCAGGAGATTGTGTACGGTTTTTAAGTGTTTATTTTTCCTGCGTGTTGACCGGATGAATCAGTTCAAATCAAAGTTTTTTTCCTCTCTGCAGGTCAACTCGACAGGAATTCACTTGTGTAATATCCTCAACACAGCTGGTGAATTTGTCTATAGCAATATTCACGGTTAACGAATATCGACGTCAGGAATCTTTTCTTATTCACGTTTTCCAATAATTAGCACATAATATCTATTAGTTTCAATGGTCAATCTCGTTGATACATTCCCGTAATGTTCGCGTAATTTCTTTTTTTTTATCACTACAAGTTTATTTCCCCTTATGCATTTATTTTCATTTCTCTAGAGTTAAGTATTGCTTTTGTCGCACGTGTRTCAAGCCTGCATTTCCGTTGGTACCTGTTCATTCTAGTTCATTCTAGTTTTTTAAACACGTTTTTAATTATTTTTTAGCTTTTTGAAATGATTCGTTTGTACAGCGTTTTTTAGCGCCAGGCTTTTTGGTTTTGGATATTTACAGACCGACATTAGGAAACAACCTAATATTCTATTAAGACAATAAAAACACGTAAAAACATGAAGAAATTAGTATTAACTGCTGCACCTTTTTGTTAAAATAATATTGTCACAGCTTTATAGGACTTTTAATGTTTCTTATGCCATTCTTTCCTTCTAAACAAATTCAAATTCGAATTTCCATCTTATTCGAAAAATGCCTGAAGAATTGAATACCAGGAGAGAAAAATCCTGTGGCTGGATTTGGCGGAAAACGCGCCGCTTGTTTATCAGTCATTCGTTACGCCATCGAGAACCTATCACTGGGGATGACTTAAGCTTCATCTAAAGCTTTACTATTTTAATTCATMTTTATACTTCAACAAAAAGTAATTTGAAGTTTGTTCAGCTGCAGAATTATGAGAATGGTGCATGCTGGGTAAMCACTGCTGTGCTCTCTGGGGGACTACCGCTGGTCTCTAGTCCCGTGGTGCSGTATCTTAGCAACAAAAGTGTTTGGATAGAATGCGCTGTTAAATTTACAATWAAAATATAAAAAAAGAAGAGAAAGAAAAAACTAGAAGCCTCATGAGACCAAATGTTCAATAACAATCTAATTAAACGGTAACGAAACCGAAATTAATTGTTGTCTTTGAAAAACCGGYCAACTCAGATTTAACGATGTGAGATGATAAGAAAATGTTGTACATGTTATTAAGTAAATTACCCTTAGATGTAGACTTGTCCCGCGGGTAACGGGAWATTCCGGACTGCCACTGACCACTTTGATAACTGACGTTGAAATGTAAATGCGTTGCTTTGGTGGACTGAGAAAGAGAAGAGACCSCTGACAGACGGAAGAAGCCCCTCGAAACAACGGAACGACGAGCAAACTAATTCCTTCACGATTAAGGTTTCAAAACAACGTACAACAAGGTAAAACAAGCTGGTAAACCAAACATGCGCTCYACCCTCTCCTCCAGGGGTTTCTAGTTGCCTTCAGTTTTCATCGCAGCTGGTGTGGTTTTTTCAATTTTACAC